AAAGGTGAACTGTGGCATAAAGAAATATAAATACCCAAAATTGAATAACAATGGCCTTAGAAGAGAAAAAGGTCCCTTTAACTAGGGATTTCAACTTGAGTCCTGCAATGTTTATAGTTCCTAATATGTAGTATCCTCAGTCTTCTGCTAGCAATGGTTGGGCCCATAAGCATTTGTGAATACTGGTAATTCAATGAAGTTAAACAGATAGGCTGTGGTACTTCTCAAAGCAAAGATCTCCTGATACTGAGGTGTAAAGTTGTCTGCATACAGTGTCTCTAGAGTGATGACAGAAAGAGGTTAGGCATCCTTCCGCTCACCAATCCCATGTTTTCCTAGGATCAAGAGTTCTTGCACAGGCTCTTGGCTGTTTGTAGGGATGTGCAGAGTTTCTCCCTGGTGTGTCTGCGCATGGTGCAGAGATGTCTGTGTGAAGACTATAGTGACAGTCCTGATGCAGAGAAGCTGATGTGATCCTGGTGTGGCGATTGGGCGTCACCACTGTGCTAAACTGATGCGCAGAGTAGTAGGCAAACAATATGTCTCTGGAAGAGAATGGCAGTATCTCTGTGTTCAGCTCTGAATCCCACACCAAGAGAGTGAGCGAGTTCCTTGATATAAAACATATCTGCTCTCCCAGCAACCATCTCTTTCCCCAGCTCTCTAGTAGTTGAAGTTCAATCAGCATTCAGAAATACAGTATCCATTGGCTATAGGGCAGATAAGGTTCAATATTGAGAAGTGTAAAGTTGTGCACTTGAGTGACAAAAATAAACATGAAAACTACATATTAGAAGGGGCTCCCCTGGGAGAATCAATGATGGAAGAGGATATGGCGCTGCTTGTAGATCACAGACTTAGCAATAGCATGCAATGCCAAGCTGCAGCTTTCAAAGCTAGCAAAATACTGCCATGCATTAGCCACCTACTGACCGTTCACAGTAAATATACTGTGAGTGGGTGGCAGGTGAAGGCATAGTCTCTTATATGTATGTGACTGCCTTCTTCTTGACCTGTGGGCATGGTGTCCATGTGTAGCCAATCACAGCAGGGTCCTGTGTCTTGTTTTTTAAGCACAGACACAGGATCTTTTTGGTTCTTCTGTTCCTAAATTCTTTTTGGTTCAGGAAAAGCAAAGAAAGCAGGACCACAGTGAGCAAAAGCACCACATCTACACTTACACACCCGTAGTTAGGCACATTGAACCCTTTGATCGCCCTCAGTTAATCCTTTGATCACCCCTGACACCCAGCCAGTACCATTAGTACAGTGCCAGCGTACAGTGTTTATCACTGATCACTGTATTAGTGTCACTTTTTTTTTTTTTGTATGCAGCCTATGTGCTGAATGAAAAAAAGAGAAGAAATCTCTGCCAGAAAAAGTATGTGGAATGCCCACCATTAGAATCTACTGCCCTGCATCCACCCACTTCTAATGGTGGGCACGCATTAGGTCGCACGGTGCCACATGTGCCATTTCCAAGATTGTACAAATGTCTAAATAGTGGCACGTTTGAATAAAAATTGTCCACGTATAAGTGACACCAAGTCCCAAACTATCTTGCCACTACTCGCCATGTACTCTGGGCATCCGGGGGGGCTCCATCTTATATGTATAGCCTGTTGCCCTCTTACAGGTCTTATACATCTTGACCCCATATCTGGCATGCTTGCTGGGGAGAAATTGATTGAATGCAAGGCAGACAGAAAAATGAATGAGGGACTCATCAATGCAGATTTTTTTGCTGGGGAGTATAGACATCTGCAAATTTTTGGTTAAGGTGATTTACGAGTGGCCGAATTTTGTGGAGCCGGTTAAATTCAGGGTCACCCTGAAGGACGACGGAGTGTATTGTCGTTGAAATGCATAAAACACATTATACTCTCATATCTATGCCTGGCCATGGCAGCAGAGAACATGGGTATATGATGAATCGGGTCTGTGGACCAATACAACCGCAATTCATATTTTTTAGTAATGCCCATGTTGAGGGTTAGGCCCCAAAAAATTTTTAATTCAGAAACCGTAATGGGTTTCCATGAGATTGGTCTGGCAAGGTTTGAATTTGGGTTGGAGGTGATAAATTGTTGTGCATATAAATTGCTTTGATCCACAATCAATGTATACAGATCTTCCGTGAATAACAGCTCCAAAAAATCAAGGGGAGTATTTAAATTTGCTGTTTCCACCTGAGTTCCGGGTTGGGCAAGGAATGGAGGAAGTACGGGTGCTGCAGAATTTGTGGGCTGCCAATCGGGATTTGCAAGCACGTCCGGAAGGATACTAGGGGCTCTACAGGCCTGTGTGCAAACTCTTGGTGGTTGCGGGACACTACTTGCGCTCGCCGCCACACCAGCTTGTACTGCACTTATGGGACTCACCATGTCACCAAGTGATACTGCAATGCTGGTATGTGAAAGACCAAGATGTAATAGGTTGCTGGTGCTCGCCAGTTCACCAAAAGGTAGAGCTGCACTAGTACTGGCACTCTGCTGCATATGAGAGTCATCAAAATTTACTGTCAAGTGCTAGCAAAGATTGCGGTTTTGTGTGCAATGTATCAAGTGACAGTGACCTACTGACACTGCACTAGCTGGGGGAGAAGGGGAGTAAGCGTAGGGGCTAAACGCAGATTCTGGCAGGTGCCGGGCTGATCCCGCTAATGCTGTGTTTTTGGGGACACTATACTAATGTGAACGCTGGTATAGTGCTGATCTGATCAAAGATATTGATACGTTAAGACACTATACTAGCAATGGCGGTTTATTGTGTATGAGAGTGTTCCTGGCAATCAAGGGGTTAAATGTGATTTCTGGCAATCTGACGCTATCTGGGAGAGGAGTGAAAACCACGCTAGTGTGCGAACCATGTGTATATATATATATATATATATATATATATATCATATATATGTGATTTTGCGCACCAGTGCTGCCCTGTAGCAGTAGTTCTGCTATAGGGTGGTCAGGAAGCAGTTAAAGAAGCAGTTTGTGTTACGTCGCTGCATTATTTTAACTGCCAATTGCGCTATCATGCAACGCTGAATCCAGATGAAATTTAGGTCCTTTTTTTCCCCAAGAATTGAGCTTTCTTTCGGTGGTATTTGATCGCCTTTGCGGTTTTTTTTTTTGAGCTATAAAAAAAAAAAGACTGACAATTTGAAAAAAAAACCCTGTATTTTGGACTTTTTGCTATTAAATGTGTCCAGTAAAAAAAATGTAAAAATCTAATTTAATCAGAAATTTAGGCCAAAATGTATTCTGTGACATGTCTTTGCTAAAAAAAAAATCCCAGTACTTGTAAATTAATTGGTTTACGTGAAAGTAATAGCGTTTGCAAATGGCGGTATTGATACTCTAATTTTTTTTATATACTAATAATGGTGGCGATCAGCTACTCATGGCAGCCATCAGCGGAACTGCGGCGGGCATTCGACACTGGGGGGAACTGATTTGCTGTCACTGACATCCCCAATGATCAGTGCTTAAAATAAGCACTGACACTGTATAATGGCACTGGGCAGGAATGGGTTATCAATGAGGGGCAATCAAAGGGTTAACCGTGTGCTGGGAGTGTTTTACTAGGGGGTGTGTTCTTCACTGTAAGCACACTGATTGGGATGGCTCTGCTCAGCCATCCCGAGCAGTGTGCCCAAATTGACGGGGAGGAGGGCTGTTGGTAAACAATGCAGCCCTCCTCCCTGTCAGTGATCGCTGGTAATCACCTGGCACCAGCGGGTAATCACCGTCCAGGACCCGGTGATTGGTACCCTGGGCCGCGATCGGCGGTACGGATAGGTCATGCAAGCGGCTCGTGCGTGCCCCCTACCCAGAAATGCAGAGGGGGCACAGGGGCCGCCCTGGAGCAGTAAATCTACTGTGGGCAGTCCAAAAGCGGTCAAAGTGTACAAAAAATACCAAAGGTGACTCCGGTAACTGTAATAAACTGTTACACTAAGGTCCCTGTGGAGTACCAAGATTTGTGCTTAGAAGAAAGAAGGTTAAATCTTATATTGCAGAAAGGGTTCTTTGCTGTTAGAGCAGTAAAAATGTGGAACTCCCTCCCCCAGGAAGTGGTATTAGATGAGAGCGATGATTAAAAAAAAGGATGTTTTTCTCAGGAAGCTGAATGTACAGTGCTATGGGAATTGTTAAGAAATGAAAATAACATACACATTGGTTGAGCTCGATGGACCTGGCTTTTTTTTCAACCTCATAAACTATGTAACTTCAAGAAAAACAAGAGACAATGATATTTTTCAATGAACTGAAGTTTATTGAAAAAGTAATACAAGGAAATATTTAGCAAAGAATAGAATGCAATTGATATTTTCAGCATCTGAATACCAATGGTTTTCTAACAGAGTTCTTCTAATTTTTTCATGTAATGATTGCCAACTACAAAATTACCAAACTGTGGCGTAGTTTCCATATTTTTTTCTTTTGTTTGTTTTGATTTTTTTCAGTGCCTGCTTCCAGTGATAGCAAATGTGATGAATAGATTTTAATAATATTTAATTTTGTATGGATTTTGCAAGTAATCTAATAATGGGTGTGTTTTAGGTGATACACAGAGATGAAACAAATCTGCCTACAGCACACAGGAACAGAGCTGAGACTGTCAATCACAGGCTCTATGCTGGAGCTCCCTTCCCTGTGACCTTTTTAGCACTTGGTGTCAGGAAAACTTGTCAGAGGTGACTCATACAAGAAACAGAGGAACAAGGCAGCAGACAGAAATGACAGTTCTCTGGATTGAGACAAGTTCACACCATAGAGGAATATGCTTTGTTCATATTTTATGTCTGATGATTACAACTACATTAACATTTTTCAGGGCTGTTTGATAATAACTGGAGCTGGCCATCTAACATACATTACGTAAGATAGAATATGTTACGCAGAAAAGCAGGTAAAGAAGTAATGTGAAAAGATCTAAAGTATTAGTTTACATCTTCCTTGAACTTGTGGAGCTTAAAGAGGTGGTTCTTGTCATGATAGCAGAAGTAGAGCTTGAACTGGTTCCTGTAGTATGTCCTCCACCAGAGCTGGTGTACCCTCCACCAGTGCTGGGGAGTCCTGCACCAGAGCTGGTGTATCCTGCACCAGAGTTGGTGTTTCCTGCTCCAGAACTAGTTAATCCTGCACCAGAGCTGGTGTTTCCTGCACCAGAGCTATATCCTCTATTAGCAGTACTGCTACTGGAGCTTGCACCACCTAAACTAGTGAAGCGGCTACCGCTCATGCCTCCGCTGACACTTCCTGTTCCGAAACCAGCTCCAGAGCTCATTCCACTGTCACCGTGGGAGCCACCGTGGGAGCCACCATGGGAGCCACCATGTGTGGAGCCACCATGGGAGCCACCTACATTGGAAGCAAAGGATCCTCCGATGCTGGCTGAGACAACAGCTGTGTGAAGAAGATATTAAAATATGCATCACTAAATGAGGATATTATCCCAGATAATAGGCATCTGTGAAATGAACTAAAATAAAAATGAAATTTAAACTACTTACATATTTTAACGGATCCTGCACATTCTCCAGAAAGCCTGAAAATAAACATGTACACTTTAGACACTTTAGTGTCACAGCAAGAACATGAATTTCATGCAGCATATGTAATTAGTACTTTTAATAAGGCATTTACTGTATTTTCTGTGACATATTTTTGATGATACTAACTTGGCATCCAACTTTTAGGAGCTTATTTATAAATCACTGGATCTGACATTTACTAGACATTTATAGGTGGTAAATAATTTCCTGTATTTTAAACCAGAAAGATTCACATGCACCAGAAATGCACAAGAAAGATCCACATGCAGTGAATATTTGATTGTCACATTTACTGCTTTATAAGTCTGCCACTTAGACTTTAAGTCTTCCTTCTCTCGTCACTAATGCTCTAAAGTCTGATGAGTTCTTTTCACAGAACATCTCATTTAACTTGCAATTCACAGATGGCCTAATTTATAGTTAAATTACACAAAATATAACCAGTCATCAAAGCTTAGCTTCCCAGTTTCCCCGGCCATCTGCGTATGCTTGAGGTTTCCTGTGCACTTGCAAAGATTGCTAGGTGGGGAGTCTGAAACCTCCCAGGCGTATGGGCTCATATACAAAATTACCTGCACATGCTCTATTTTGTATTTCTAAATGCAAAATTAATTTTAAAAACCATCAGAACATCAAAAAGTGTTTCTGGACATAGGTAGGCATATGGCTTCCTTACACAATGCAGTTCTTGAGCCTAGAGGGAAAATGTCTGGGAAAGGGCACTATAAATCAGAGACAGGGTATTATTGCTGCTCACTTTATGCTGATACCAGCCCTCACCTGGGATTTTTGGTGTCAGCTGTGATAAATGAGGAGTGCCAGAGAAGCTCCAAAAAGGTGCATATCAGTTGGTAAGGAAGGCGGGGGCAGTTTTACACAGACACCATCACTAGCCCTGAATGGGAAAGGTAGCAATCTCTCTTTAAAGATCTAAAGGTGGTCAATGTAAGGTCTAGTAAGGATGTAATCCTCTTTGTACTACTTAGAATTTTGTTGACCTGAGATGGAAATGTCACTGTGTGACCTGCCCTAAAATCAAGAAAGGTTTTCTAATGTAACAAAGGCCAGATCTTATAATAAATAGATATGTTGTACAGGAAGATAAAATAATTCATGCTTCTCTGCTTCTAAGTAATCCTACCACACTGTATCTAAAAGTTCAGGAGGGACCACATGGTTTCCTGTTTTTGTCTTAGAGTGGACTTTCACTTTCACTCCTACTTTCTCGCCTACACAAGAATTTCTCTAAGCCCCCCGAAAGTGCATAGATGTGCCGCAGGTCCCAAAAGAGCCGTATGGCACATCTGCAATGAGTTCCCATGCCCAAATGCACATGCGCGTGGCTTCCTGTGCATGAGCAAAAACTGCTAGCTGGGCAGTCTGAATCCTCCCCTACTTTTGCACGTATGAAGAAAATCACCTGTGCATACCCAGTGGTGCTGTCGGGCTTTGCCAGGTCCTGGAGGCCTAGCCAAGGCCATGGGCACATCTGAACGTGTGTCATATTGGTGACACCAGAGGGAGGGAGTGAAGTCACCAAGGAAGCAGATTGAACTTCTGCTTTAAGTCACTGTACAGAGGGACAATGACGAAACTGCAGAGATACTACTTTGTCTGACTGTATCTGTGCTCAGTATTTCCTCAGACACTGAGAGGCCAGCATGCAGCTAGTGAAGAGGATGAAAATCACAATTCCTGGCTTGAGTATCATTCCATGACATAAATGCAGAAGTTGATGGTATAACACAACAACCAGGCAATCAGACCTTTCAAAAGCATTGACCAGCTTCTATATGGTATCATAATATGTATGGTATTATAGCATCAAATGGCAGCCTATCTTCCCAATATGATTGTGGGAGTTATGCACTCACCGGCACTCTTCTCCTTCCAGCAGTTTCTTATAAGCAGCAATTTCAAGATCCAGAGCCAATTTGGTGTTCATCAGTTCTTGATATTCCTTCAGCTGACGAGCCATGTCCTGCTTGGCCTTCTGTAATGCGTCTTCCAGATCAGCCAATTTACTTCTTGCATCCTTAAGAGCCATCTCACCACGTTCCTCAGCGTGTGCTATGGCAGATTCTAGTTTTGTTCTCTAAATGAAACAGATAATAATACAATATATATATATATATATATATATATATATATATATATATATAAAATAAATAAGGCATTGTTTGCATTATAATTCAATATAGCACATATATCATAAAATAGTAATTTACTGTATATTATGTGAAAATCTTGCCATACCTGAGCTTTAACATTTTCAATCTCTGATTTGAATCTTTGGACAGCTCTGTTGAGGTCAGCAATTTCATTCTTTACGCTGCGCAGGTCATCACCATGTTTTCCTGCTGTATTCTGAAGCTCTTCATACTGTAGAATATATTTTGATCAAATTAAAAGGTAACAAATTGTTGATATGGCTATGTTACTGAATGATACCTTTTCAGTTATTTGCACACAGTGTAAGCAAAGCTGCAGTTGTGAAAGTGTATTATAACATTTATAGTCTAGCAAAATTAATCAGTGCTTTTCTTGTGTCAGATTACTTGTAGCAATGACATTGTCTAGGATATACTTACTTTGGACTGGTACCAGGATTCTGCTTCAATTCTGCTCTTGTTAGCAATCTCTTGGTACTGAGCTTTGATCTCATGGATAATACCTTCCATGTCCAAATCACGGCTGTTGTCCATGGACACAATGACAGAGGTGTCTGAGATCTGTGACTGCAGTTGACAAATTTCCTGTTAAAGGAAAAAATGCTAGTTAGACAGTAATTTAGTAAAAATATGTTGGGTTAATGTTCATATGTTAAAAATATAGTCCAAATTTATATCTATGAAATTGTGAATTTTATTACCCCAGATAAATAATACCCTATCATTTACCAATGAACCATATGCAGCTTTCCTTGATGTTGCATTTTTGTCTGAGACCATCTAACAGCATTTCTAAATATATGTACTGTATACCCTCAACTTTAGTCAAAATGTTAAATTAAGATTAATAGAGAAAACTGCCATACATGAGGACCTGCAGTGCATGCATCCTCCTGCTTCTGCTTTATTGTTTCTGAGAATCTGTGCTACTTCTTTCTCTCCTGCTTCTTAAATATTCTACCATCAGTCATCAGACCACCACTCATCAGAGGGGAAGCTCTGACATGAGAAATCAAAGCCATGCTCCTCAACCAGCATGGCTTCCGCCACACAGAGCATAGAGACACAGTGCAGAACAACAAATGCGAAATTGGTAATGTGGAAAACAGCAACTGCAGGCAGCCTACGGACAATACTGGTGACTAGTCCTTTACCCTCTGCCTGCCTTTTTGGACACAACTTCCACAGGTCTGGTGTGAGGAACATCTAGTACTCCTTGCTCCATCACAGCTGTTGGTCTCATTCCAGGATCCTAGTTTTGGCTGTGATATATTCTCCCTGTCTGTTTGTCTACTTGCAAGGTGATTGCTGTGACCAGTCTCTGGGTGGAGACCAAACCTGATTTAAGCCAGCCAAGCCTGCAGTCTCATGCTTGTGATAGCATGTGTAATACATGCTCAAGCTCCTTGACTGTTTGTCCTGGTCTGCTGTTTGGATTCCCCTGTTTATGATATTGGATAAGATATAGACTATTCTCTTAACTATGCAAGCCTTTTGACTACCGTTGGATTTGATTGGACCGTGACTTAACCAGACTTTGCCTGCCTTGTACGTGAACTGTCATTGAACCTCTCTGCCTGTCTGCCAATTGCAAATAACCGTTTGCTGTGCTCAGTTCATGCCTGCCCCAGTGTGGTAGCCAGGCACTATAGCATTGTGTATAAGTCCTGGGGGCCTGCTTGCCTTATGTGAAAGGAGGCTGCTATAGGTGAAGAAAACAGAAGCCTGCTATAAACCCTAACCAACTGCATTGGGAGTAAGCGTAACATCTGGTCTTTCGTTAAATTTGATTCTCATGCTGAGAAAAGTTGGAAATGTGTATTTGGTTTTAAAATCTCTCAGATTCTGCACTAGAGTGGTTACTTACCAAATCATACACTGTCCTTAGGAAGCTGAGTTCATCATTGAGAGAGTCAACCTTAGCCTGAAGTTCAGTCTTGTTCATAAAAGCTGCATCAACATCCTGTAAAATATATTGGTGACCACAGTTCAGCAATAAATGTATTGAAGTGCATGGATTACGTGCCTAAATAATAAAAATGACATGCCTTTTTAAGTACCACAAATTCATTTTCTGCAGCTGTACGCTTATTGAGTTCATCTTCATATCTGGAAATACAAGTAAACACAAACAATTGTGAAATATTTTCACAGTATCTTATATCACCATCAAAATTTCTAATGAAGATATGTAAATCATCATACTTCTTTTTAAATTCCTCTACCAAATCCTCCATATTCTTTTTGTCTGCTTCTAAACGTGACCTTTCATTGTCCAAACAATCAAGTTGCCTCCTAAGATTGGTAATGAAGGATTCGAAAAGTGGCTCCATGTTACTTTTCACAGTCTTTTGGTCTTTCAGAAAAGCCCATTTTGTCTCCAGCATCTTATTTTGCTGTTCTAAGAATCTAACCTATGGGATTCAAACAAAGACATTTGATCATTTGTTTAGCAAGGTATAGCTAGCAAAAAAAAAATCAAAATTATATAATAAATAAATACAAATATATTATTTTATTATGCAAACGGTCTGAGCCTACATTTCCCACATAAGTACATGGTAACTTCTGACACATAAATAACCATGAAATCAATATACCATACCTTGTCAATGAAAGATGCAAATTTGTTGTTCAGGGTTTTGATTTGTTCTTTCTCTTCTTTTCTGACTTTCTGAATATTTGGGTCAATTTCCAAATTGAGGGGTGCTAGAAGACTTTCATTGACAGTGACATTTGTGATGCTGGGTGCTCCACCAAAGCCAGCACCTCCAAAGCCACCTCGGCCAGAGTTGGATCCCCCAAAGCCATATCCATATCCCATACTGGATCCAGAACCACCACCATAGCTTGCCCCACCATATCCATATCCGTTCACTCCAGTGCTATGACTTGCAACTGAAATCTTTGGCGATCTTCCTGAACCAAGATTGTAAGCACTTCTGCTGTAATGTGATTGTGATTGTACCCTTGACCCTACACTGGCAATCCTTGAGGAACAACCACCTTGTCTATTTCTTGGCAATGAAGAAGAGCTAAAATTTCTGTAGCTAGAGCTACTGTGTTTGAGTAGACAAGACATGGTGAGATGAATTACTGGATGCAGCACAAATTCAAGAAGATGGTTCTGAATTACAGACATGGTCTCCTTTTATATTTTGACAAATGGGTTTGGCAGTACTTTGCAATGAAATAATACCCTATCATTGTATGTTTATTAGCTTTATTTACTAGCAGGGCATTTTATACCTCTATCATTTTCAGAAAACAACTATACACCTTCCAATGTGCAAACTATGAAAAACAATTATTGTTGGTTACTTTACTACCTATAAAAGAAGCCTCTAATTTAGGCCAAAGTTATAAGGAATAATTATAAAGAATCCAGTGATGTCCTCATGAAAATTGTTACATGGTATGGCATGTGTTAGCTTACTATATTATTTTCAGGTTTTCTTTTTGTGTCACACATGTTTGACATTGTCTTACAAAATGTACATAAACTTATATTTAGTAGGTTTACCTGTGTTTATAAACAACATCTAGAACCCTCTTAGTGTAGGATGCTAGGTAAATTTAGTTTTTGTCTCCTTCTTTAATTAGTGTCCACTTGGCTTATAGACAAATGACAACCGGTAAGGACATTCACCAGTCCCTCTGGATGTCCTATGAGGTCCTTTTCGGAACATGCCTAACACGTGCCCCCCAGGGTTCGCTGTTGCACGATCTGCTACCTGCTGTGTCTACTGGACACAGCAGATAACCGATCAGTGTACCGATCGGTACCATGTGAACAATCACAGTAGATCAGGGGAAAATTTTACACAATGGATGGCTTTCATTCATGCCATCCATTGTGTGCTATTATGTTGATCTCTGTGATTGGCCACAGCCCGTCTGTACCATGTGAATAGCCGCTGTGGTCAAACACAGCTAATCACAATAGTAAACACAGAAGGAATTGATTTCATTCAGTAAAAATGGTTGCTTATAACAGGGAAATTCAGTGGTATAAGCAATTATAATCTTTAAAAAGAAAAATCACTTACCCAGAGTAGTAAAATGTTACTGTAGTAACACTGTATTGTTCTGGCCGTGAAGTGTTTAAAAATAACAGTAATAATTAATTAAATAAATAATAAAGAAAATTTTTTTTTTTATTTTTTAACATACCGTCACTAGTCAGTGTCCCTGATCACCGCTACACCAGTTATATGTTGACCCTGTACTGCACTAGTGACAGAATGTAAAAAAATTAAAAATGAAAAAAAAAACATTTAGGTAGGTGCTAGGATTTTGTACAGTTAGGATAAGTATAGCTGTGTTTCTCTGCCTAACAGAGAGACTGTTAGGTAAATTCAGTTTGTCATTCTTCTTAACAGAGTGCTGCAATTGATTAGTCAGGTCTGCTCATGATACTCTGGTGCTGTTTGAGTTTATCTTGAGCTCCACCTGCCTTCTGGAGCTATAAGAGCCTGCCAGAATATAGGCAGGAGCTAGGCAAATGAACAGCATGAATATGCTTACAGCCCTTGCCAATTACAGGGGAGGGTGGCCCCATTGTATGCTGGGAGCTGGTTTTTATGATCTGTGAGCACATGGGCTCAGGGTCTATCCTGGAGAGCATTGCACCAAGCCAGGCTGGAGGCAGGCATGCCTTTCCTGGAACCTGACACCATGTGACCTTGGGTGGGCAACCTGAGGGCCTGAAGTAAGTGAGAGAGTGAGCCTGGTTCTTCAGTAAGCTGATTGAGAAGAGCTGTCTGCCAAAGATCTGTCTGGTATCACTGGAGGGTGCCACTTAGAATATTGGAAGGAGGCTTCCATTCTGTCTTTGGGCCTTGTGAGTACAGACACTGAGAGATCTCGGGGACTATGTGTGCTTTACTACCCCTCTGGTGCGTTACTGTCAGTCTGGGTCTGAGAAAAAGGGAGCACTGGCTAGTGTTTTGAAGAGCTGGTCCAATTGTTGCTACTGCTTAGGACTTTGCTCAGTTCTTTACTTTTGGACTGTCACTGTCTGCTGTAACTGGCCTGTTGCTGTTACCAAAGAGAAGTCTGCTATCTGCTTCTAGCCAGAACTTCGACAGTGCTCAGCTAAGAGATCAGTTAGAAGTTCTCCACTATAATTACTCCCAATTCTGGAGTATCCTACTAAATTCCCCATATCGATCCCTAGTTCTACAATAAAAATACAAAAAATAACATTCCCTAAATTACACATTACATCACATTACATTAGGACTTATCAATTTTCAGATATATAAATTAGTATGTGGACTCTATAACTTTCCTACAGACTAAAAAATAAACACTGATTTTGAATTATTTTCATCCTAATAATGTAGCAGAATACAGTTTGGCCTAAATTTATGAAAAAAGATTATATATTTGCAAAATTTTATAATAGAAACACCGTTTTTTGTCTTTTTTCCTATATTTAACAAAAAAATTTAAAAAAACAGCGGTGCCTAAATACCACCAAAAGAAAGCTATATTTGTGTGAAAAAAAGTATAAAAATGTAGTATGGGTACAGTGTTGCGTGACCACACAATTGTCATTCAAACTGTAACAGCGCTGAAAAGCTGACAATTAGCCTGGGCAGGAAGGGGGTGAAAGTGGGCAGTATTGAAGTGGTGAATCAGGGAAACAGTGACTGTTTGGCTTGGTCTGCTCAGGCTGGGAATTTGCTTGTGTACAGGGCTGCTGTTAGAAACCACGGGGCCCCATACAGCCAACCTGACAGCCCTCTCCCCCCCATGAATGAACACAGTGAGTGATTGGTATTGAATACTCATCGTGTTCATTCAGAAGAGGAAAGGGCTGGTAAATGTGACATTTTTACTGGATCCTTCCTCCACTCTCCATCCTGAAGGATCCTATTGTGTGCTTGCAGCTGCTGGTGGGAAGGAGAGGAGGTAAGCTGGCAGCAGTGTGGGGGTAGAGGCACATGGGGGGGGGGGGGGGGGGGCTGGGAAGCAGGGGGAAACATATGGTGTACAGCGAGGATGATGGGTGGAACTGGGGGGAGGTAATTAATGGAACCAATCCCTTGTATGGCTCTCTCTGCAGCAGCTGAAAGTCAGCAGGAGGAAAAGGAAAAAAAGACAGCTTTCAGCTGCTGCAGAAAGAGCCATACAGGGGAATGGTTCTAATATTTGCCCCCCTCACTATGCCGATCACCGTCCCTGCCCATTCATCCATCTTTCTGGGTCCTCCTGCTGGGAAGCTTGAGCCAATCAAGAAGCAGAAGAGTCTGAGCCAATTGGAGCATGAGAAAGAAAACTTGCTGTATTGCACAGGACACTGGTAAGTATAGTTTCTTAAAGAGCATAGCACAATACCATTGAATTGCAATGATACAAGATTGAAAGAGGTGAAATAGACTAGCTGGATTAGTCTTGTGAGGGGATGTCACGCTGAGGGGATTTGCTGTGAGATGAACATCAACTTCAGAAGAGCACCACACAGAGAGGTCTTGCAGCAGGTGTCTAACTTCCTATATCTGAGACAGGAAAGTCATGCTGTCACAGCTTACCAGACTGTACGAGTGAGTACCAGAGCTGAAGGACTGAGTTTCTGGGACCTGATGTCTGTAACCACCAAGCGTATGGAACGGGACCTGTCATCTGCCAGGAGTGGTGAGAGAACTCACATTCAACTCCCTTGGCTACACCTTGCTCTGGATAGTCTGCTCTGACAGAAGGGCCCCACCACAACCAGCCAATGTTAGCAGTACGGTGCCAGGTACATTTTCACCACCTTTAAGGGGTGCCCCACTCAGGAACATTTACAGTTACCCATTCCTGGAATATCGTAATATCTTAAGTGCACTCAACAATATTATCCATGAGTTAGTTGGGTTTAATCTAGCTCAATTGTTTGTAGTTGGGGTAAATCTCGATTTAACATTCCTGTAGTACAGTTTGGCCTTCCAGTTGCAGGCCAGTGTTCACTTTATTCAGTTCTGCAACTTGTTTATTTTGCCTCATATCAAGTTATGTACCGTTACCTGCTTTGAGATAATATATTTACCTAACCTGCAATCTTGTAGTCTGGTCTACTTTCCTGTGCATTGATCCATTGTCATGAATCACTAATGCTTAATTAACTTAAGTTAAGGTGTACATAGTCCTCTACCTCTACCTCTAACTGGTTGTGTCAGTGGGAAACGAGCAGTTTTGAGTCATTGCAGAACAGAAGACCCATCAATATCAGTGGCTCCTGCAGGGCTTAGTGTTACATCTGCTTCCCCCTCAAATTCAAATAACCAGCCTGAATGTTTCTAATTCTCTAGCCAATCCCTGGAGAGGAGTGTCCAATAAGGAGTTGGAACGGCGATAAATAGTCTGAAACACTGGACAGCTGGGTTCCCTCTCACCAGGAGGGTTCCAGAGTCTGATGGGATCCTGCCTTCAGGCAGTCCATGCACTATTCAGTTGTCTAGAGGCCTCAGTAGTGTCAGGGCTGATGGCCTGGATGGACCTCATTAAAAGCTGAATGAAAGACCTCACCACAAGGGAATGGTATGGAGAAGGACTTTCTCACTTACTGGACCATGTCCAGAGGAAGCTGTAGGGTGGCAGCTGTGTAAGACTTGTGAGTAAAGATCCTATCTTGATCCCTGTGACTATGTAATGCTCTGGAGAAATACACTAGTACCAGCAGTTGAGAATTAGTGCAAGGTAACCAGATGCCAAAGAAACTTGCCTCATGGTCTTCAGCTGTGAGGCCTTGGACTGCACAGAGACTTGCCTCATGGTCCCCAACTATGAGGCATTAGACTGTCCAACACAAATGCTTAACGAGACAACTGTCCTCTAATTGCTAAGTACTGACCGTTTTGTAGTATCCCATGCCCTAATCCCTCTCCAGT